CGTATTTATATCTATTACACGAGCAGTAGGAAGGATTTGGCTCCTGCCATGACTTTCCGGAGCAGCACAGAGGCAAAGAGGGCGGAGAGACCGCGCAACAGGGCAGGTCGTACGCTGAGGTGTTTGAGTGAGGTCGGGGGGGGGGGGGACGTATTTGGCCGCTGGAGGGAGAGGACCATATGTGCAGCAGAACCATTCTTTGTGGTTAGTTTTTCCTGTTTCGCGCACGCTCTCCTCCCCCTTCACCTGCTCGACGGCAAAGTTTTGGGAGAAGCTGGAGAATTTCGAAGAAATTCCAGAAAAGTGGTAGAAAGTTGTGAAAAGTCAGTAGGACGAAAGGTAGAATGAGAAAGGGGGGGGGGGTGGTCGTATCAGGGAAAGATGGGGGGGGGGGTCAAATTTTGCAATTTTTTCTCAACGACAGGACGTGTCCTGATTACATGTGCAGTAGCAGCAGGAAGGACTTGGGCACTGCCAGGACTTTACCGAGCTGCACGAAGCCATAGAGACCTCAAAAATAGTTCAAGAGCTTCACCCCTCCCAACCCCCAGGGACGGTATCTCACACAGCTTGCCTTTTTAAGGTCATGGACTGGCAATCCCGTCTACCCATGACTTCGAAAAGCCCCTCAAGGGCGCATTTTTTTGAAAACGAGCCCCTTTACCCATGAGCCGCTGAAAAGTGCAATCTAGTGCGGTTTATCACGTGCTGCAAAGCACTTCCCAGCGGAATCTTTTGAAACAACCCCTCCCATGCGGCCGCTTCCCATCATTCACAGATGGTTCTCGTTGTCTTATAGCTATAACTTCTGGGTATCTTCCTCGGCAAAACCCTCCAGTACAACTGTCAAAGCGAAAATAATGTTATATCTTTATACATGAATTAGTGAAATACGAGATCCATAGATCATTGAGAGGTTGACCCGTCGTTATCGGGTGGCGACGTTGTCGCCTCGGCAGTTGGCACTTCTGAGGAAGTTGCAGCCGATTCAGATGCTGCTGCTGCTGACGGTTGTCGAAAGCTGAGAGCTCGACACAACTGTTCCAGTTGGCTGAGCTTCTTCTGCTGAAGCACAGCGTTCTCTTCGAGCTCTTTTTTAGCCATCGTCAATACCAGGACATTTCTGAAAAGAATTCACTTTGAAATCGGGGGATAACTTCCACGGCGTAATTCGGCGACGAGGGGGGGGGGGGCATTTTGCATTTTCACTGCTTAAGTTAAGGTAAAAAAAAGAAGAATTGGTGAATCCTGTAAAGCTATGAATCAGATACCACAAAAACCCGCAACTCTTGTAAACAATGAACGCCCTATGATAGAAGAAGCAAAAAAATGCAGTGCAGAGTAATGCCCCCCCCCCCCAAACCAAATAACTTTTGCTGTGTTGTCACTTACTTAGATGCTTCCTCATACTTCTGTTTCCATTTGAAAGCATCCGTTTCGACCTTTTTGAAATTCGAGTTCACCTTAAAAATAGAACGTTTAAGAGAACGTCTCCCATAACTTTAGAAACGGGCCAAGCTGTAAAGGCTCAGGTAAACGAGTCATGTTCTTTCCCACTACGTGACGGGAAAGCTCAAGAAGGACGAAGCTGTCGATGTCATTCATGGCCTTGCTGGTTTGGATAGCCGCCATCTATTCTTTTGAAAAACCACAATTCAAAGCGTGTCATCTTCCAGATTGCACCCATGAACCACTGCCGATAGAAGCTGTCATGTCCTCTCTGAGTTCCATCTTCTGGTAAGGAAAATCCACTACCACGGCAACCTGGAACGGCGAGAGGGCTTGGTTTGCCTAGGGAGGAGTAGCAGTACCTCTCGGCTTTAATTGCATCACGACCTCTAAATGCGGCATGCCACTTCCAAAGTCCAGCTGCACCCTGCATATGTAAGTCAATGTACTTGCGTTTATCCTCCCAGACGAGGCAGAAAAGGTCTATAGGCAAGGGGCCGCTTTGCCTCGACCGCCGGCTATCGGAGGCGGCGTCAAACCTCAGACCGGCTCGTCGCGTTAGTGCCAACCAGGTCTACTATTTCAAGGTCGGTAAATTGGTTATCACATTCGTTGTGAAGCGCGTAAAAACAGTGCCATGTATATGGCCTAATCACCACCTTTCCCCCACCTTTCCCCCCCCCCCACAAAGGTCATTCTAAAACAATACACCATTCAATAAGCCACTATAAGATTGAATAGAAGAAGAGTGGGTGCAGCCCCGAAAAAGGCTTGATCAAGGGAGGAGGCTTCATCCTCCCAGACGAATTCAGAACCAGTTCACCGTCCCTGGAGGAGAGGTAACTTGGGTCGCCGGAGATGGAGCGAATCTGATCCCAGGACCGTCAGTAAGCGGCATCACTTGTCGCCGCTACACCACTTCCATCTCTCATTTCAACCCCTACAAGTACATATCCATGACTGTTCCCATCACTTCCTTCCACTCCTTCGTCGGAATCGGGTCACCCCAGCAATCAGCCAAAAGAACCAGTATAATTTGTACTTAGATGTATAGCATGACAACCGATCCCTATGGATCTCGAGAGGAATCTTTGTTTTACGCTTTACACCGGGCAGAAATTACTGCGGCTGCCTGCCGAGTTTTCGACGACGCCCCGCCTACATTTCCACCCACGCAACGAAACAATGTGGACAAGCTGCATACTCCATCAGACACGCTTGTTAAAAATCTATCGATTCGCCAACGGAAAGGGACTTTTCACGAAAAACTCGAAAATGAGCACGCCGAGAATGTTTTTGAGCATTTCGGACTGGGAACAGAGCTCGAGCAGACACTTGAGGGACTTAAGTGCAACAAACTTTAGACCTTTTATCGGACTAGGGAGTGCCGATTCCGGAGATCCTAATAGTTTACGAAACGTTCGGTGCGCACGAGCTTATTCCAGATGTTGAGGCAATGAAATTGTGCGGGAGGGACGGGGATGTGAGGTGTGTGAAGGCGCCTTAGCTATGGCCAAATGAGAGAGAGAGCGCGATTCATTCAGCACGAAATCAAATCAATCGTCAGGCGGATGGATGGACGGCACGCTGACACATCTAACTTGAGAAAAGACATCGCCTGCCATCTGAAGAGTTTAACAGCCAGAAAAGGCGTACTTTCTCTCCCTTCACATTCAGGCGTTTCGGGCGTGCGATTCACTACGTAAATTCTACAGGAACAATAGAAACCAAGGCACGTCGTACGTTGGGGATCCCCAGCGAGTGGGGGTCGTATCTGGTCGCTGGTAGGACGAAGGTCATAACTGTCTTCGAGGAAGGCTCCTCCAGTTCTTCGGTAACTGACTGTTCTCGGTTTCTCCCCTTCCATGTACGCTATAGACCTCTGCCCTCCCGCTTGGCGGCAGTTTTGGGGGAAGCTGGGGAGCTTTTGCAAGTGTCAAGAAGTTGGGTAGGTTGTAAGTAGGATGGAGAGGGGTTCGCACCAGATGAGGAAATACATGAGGGGAAGTGTCGCATATCCTGCGAAGTTTTCCCCCAACAGCAGCGCGTGTTAACCAAAACCCTCTTCTGAACCCTTCTGGTGTTTGCTCCTCTCCAGCCTACTT